ATTGTTCATTTCAATCTGTCAAAAATTACCATTTATGATATCCTTATTGTACAAATAGAAAACTCGATATTTCAGTGGCCAAAAAATTAGCATGTACTAAAAATGAAAAGTATATTTCTGAGAATTATGTTAATAATAGCTCATCTCTCTTATGAGAATACAAAAATAATTATTAATTTCATCTATCTCTTTTAGATATTAAAAATAAAGGATGTTGGTGTCATGAATATATAAAACTTGGACTTGAATTTACTCAGAATCTCGCAAATAAAAGAGGCAGAATGTGTATTTTTAGTTCTTATCATAACAGACGTACTTTACTCTTTTAGAGATATTCTGAAGAATATTCATGATTAGCTTGAATTGATAGTATCCAAAGAGGAACTTGGTGCCCACATTGTGTAGATAAGTCTGAAAACTTGACATTAAATATGCAAAAAAATTAGTACGTAGCAAAAATAGAGTATGTTTATCTAATGTTTATATTAATTATACAATGTATTTATGCTGGAGATATTTCAAATCACATGAATAGCTCGCTTCTATTAGTGGTATTAAAAACAAAAATTATTGGTATTCACATTGTGCTAGTACAAAATTTGATATTGCAATAGCCAAATTTATTGCATATAGCCAAGCCAGAGAATGCTTGACAGATTCTTATATCAATTGCAAGAGTTAGTTATTCTGAAGATACAATAAAAACCATCAATAGTATGCTACCCTTTCTCATATAAAAAATGATAATTCATGGTATCCATATTGCTTTAAATATAAACATGAAGGATTGTATCAAGAGTTTATATCAAAATATCTTGGACCGCTATCTAAAATACATCAACCTGATTTTTTTAAAACTTTAGATCACCCAACTAGATTAGAACTTGATATTTATTACCTGCAATATAGATTTGCAACTGAAGTGCAAGAAGAACAGTACAAAAGATATATAGAATTTTTTTATAATAGCAATCCTAATAATTTTATCAAACAGCAAGCACAGGATCAACTTAAGAAAAAATTATACAAAAAGAATTGGATTGTTTTAAGATATATTTAGTATTATGAAGACCCATATAAAATTATTTCAGAGCATTTATAAGAATTGGGTCTCATTAAATAGAGTTACCATATATTGCTGAAAATAAGCCACCTCCGATAATAAGCTACTTTCCTTTTTTGGAAGAAAAATATAAAAATGTCTTATATTCGAAATAAGCTACTATATGACTATCAGTAGTTACTCTATAGTAAAGTCAAAATTTTACTAAGTAAATCGACATAGCTTATTAAGTGAAAGTTGTTCAGGAGATTAAAATACATATATTTTGAAAGTTTCATATAAATTGGATAACTTTTTATTAATAAGTTTTTGCATGTTACGTTCGACGAATTTTTTAAATTTTCTTTAACATTTCTTTAAAATTCATATAAAAAGTTATCTGATTTATATAAAACTTTCAAAATATATGTATTTTGAACTTCTGAACAACTTTCACTTAATAAGCATAGTCGATTTACTTAATAAAATTTTTTGCAATTAGCAAAAAACACTTTATTCAATAATAAGCTACTCGCAAAATTTTTGTATAACTTTTTGGCCAAGAATGGTAGCTTATTTTTGGATATATACGGTAAAACTTAAAATACAAATCAGTAATTCCACTTATTTAAACCGTTCTCGATCAAAATCATGTAACGATATTTTATTTTATTTTTTTATAGTACATATTTATATACACGAGAATATTAGATTTAGCTATATATCACCAAAACAAATTCCTAGTATAAAATCATTTTCACCCAAAAGAAGTACTGTAATTATTTTTGAGAATATATATGTTGCTTCCAAGTCTATCCAAAATTGAATTATACCATTTTTTACACATAGGCATCATCGAAATATTTCTTTATGCTATGTTACTCAGAAGTATCATCATGTACCAATTATTATTCATAAGAACATCTTTTTTCTAGTAATATATAATAGAGAAGCAGTTATCACAATATGTCTAAAATAGCTGGCCAATATATTAATGAGATAAAAAACGGTTGATCTTTAGTATAGGTGGGCATATATAATTATTATACAATTATAATATATATAAATTAAGTATTTTGAACTAATTTGAGTAATTTTATAACTTATTAGGGTTAGGATTAAGGTTAGAATTTAAATTGGTTCAAATTAGATAGGTTTTATATATTATAATCTTGTAATAATTTATATATGCCCATCTATACTAAAGAAGATTCAAAGATCTTCTTGTCATTTAACTAAGGTTCGACACAATACTAAACCTCCAGAAAAAAATAGAGCCGAGGCAGAAGTGCAAGATAGGTTTGAAGAACCAGGACCCAAAGGGTCCTCTAATGGCCTGCTCTGCAATAAAAACTATATTACCTATAGAGCCCACGAATTCTAAACCTGAAAAGGTTAAAAAATTAGCCACGTAAATATCTTGTTTTGCAGAAATGAAAAGTCTATAGTATTATAGTATGCACTTCATAGATACTTCGTGCACTACCCAATCATGATAAGTCAGAGACTCGTGGCTTTGCCACTCTCAAGAATAGTATTAGGAAAACGGTAGACAACTACTCTATACAAAAAATATTTTATATATATATATATTTTTTTTTTTTTTTTTGTTATTAAGGCTAATGTTATGGAGCTACTGCCTTTATTTGTGTTTTTAGTTAATGCATTACATATAACTTGTACAAGGTGAGTGTGCAACCAGCCAC